AGAAGAGGGCAATAGAAGATGAGATGGCTGGATGGCATTACCAACTCAATGGACATGAGTTTGAGCAAACTCCGGGAGATAGTGAAGGACAGGGAGGCCTGGTGTCCTGCAGTCCATTGGGTCACAGAGTTGGCTATAATTTAGCAACTGAACCAAAACCTCAATTTATGGAAGATACTGTCATCAGACCTACTAAGGATTCTGAATATAATAGATAAATAAATAAGGTAATATTTATTCTTAACATGTTAAATTGAAATTTTTTTCCTATGGTGGACTTCAGTTGAGAAATGATAGCTATAATATATTATTTGACATCTGATTGAATTCTGAAAGAGCCAGAGAACTCATTTTTCCTAAAGTAACATTGTTGATGTCCCTCTCTATTATGGATGGAATGTTTGTATCTTCTCTGAACTTCTATGTTGAGATGCTAAACCCCTCCCGGCAACGTGGTGATACTTAAAGGTCTTTGTGAGATAATTAGGTTTAGTGAGGTCATGACTGTGGGACTTTTATGGTGAAATAGTGAGTTCATAGGAAGAGACACCAGAGAGCATTCCCCACCCCCTCCCTTAGCGTGTGCTCAGAAAAGATGCTGCGTGAGCACTCAGCAGTGATGACTGCCTCTAAACAATGAGAAAAGGCCTCAGAGTAAAAGCTACTTTGCTGACCCCTTCATAGTGGTCTTTCAACCTAATTCTTAACTGCGGGAAATAGATTTCTATTATTTAAGCTCTCAGTATTTGGTATTATGTTATGGCAGCCTGAACAGACTATATCCTCCTCATACCCAAACCATTTTATAATTATTTATTCTTCATAACACACTCTCTTACAGCTTATTATGCATTTAGTCATCATTTAACAATTCTCTTTTTTAACCTGGAAGGTAATATTCTAGGAAATTGTCTCTTTTACTTTTGTATACCTAGTAATTAGAACACTGACTACTGTTGGTATTCAGAAAATTCTCGAGAAATAGATCAATGCAAAAATCAAGAAACGTAAGCCACCCTTGGCAGCATTAAATTTTTGGCTTAATTTTAATATTTTATAGTCATTTCCCCTCCTTTGTCTTATACATATATTCTAAGATTACATTTAACAATGAACAATCTTAAGATTCCTTAAAAAAGCATCTCTTTGCTGTCTTGCTTTATTATAATTATTAAGAGCCAACGAGAGAGAGAGGGGATTTGGTGCTGTTACTGACTGAATATTGTGTGATAATACTAATATCAAGAACCTTTGTGAGCCCTCAAGTGTAAAGGCTGAACATCAGTGATGACTTTGAAGCTCACCATGTGCTCCTTCAAGTTCCAGGTCCCATCTCCCTGCTTATCCTCCACATTGCTAGGCTCTTGTCATTTTTCCATCACACTGTCTTTCTGCCCTCTATTCTGATTTAAAATTTCTTCACTTTTGTCTTCCAATTGACAATTCTCCTTTTGCTTGCTTATTTTAATTCTATATTTAAGTGATAGGATTTAGCTTTCCTTCATTCTTTATATAATTCCTAAATATAAAGTCTTTAAAGATCTATATCTATAGCTTGTTGAAACTAATTTATAAAGCATATTCTTAAATGGTATATATATATATGTGTGTGTGTGTGTGTGTGTGTGTGTGTGTGTGTGTGTATTTACAGTGGTATTACATATTTGATTGCATCCAGTTGGTGGCAATGTTAAGAAACTAAAGTTATTCCAAAAGCATTTTAGGTTTACTTTTGACTGGAAGTGAATGGGCATGGATGAGAAGCATTTTAGCATGCTACATGGGTGCTAGTTAATGTAAGCATCTGAGGACTGGCTCCTACACATTGCCTCTGGCCCCAGACTTGGTTTTCCATCCTATAAAGTTGTAACTCTAGTTTTATGTTTGCTTATTGCTTATGATTCAGGTCTTGGCTTTCTAGCTAGTTTTGTTTTTTGCAAATTTAGCAATGCTTTCAACAATAGAAGCAGAATATCACCCATTTCTTTTTCATTCTAATAAAGTTAAATCTTTTTTTTTTTTTTTGTATCACAGTGCCCTGACTTCTTTTTCCATATTTCCCTAGTTAGGCTAAGATCCCTGAAGAAGTGTGTTGCAGGTCCAGGAAGCAATGCGGACATGTGCACACTCACACATGCATCTTGCAAAGCTCTATTTGCTTCTCCCAAGAGTTTCCTGAGGCCCTCCCCAGGGGAACCCCTGAATACATTTTTGGGATAATCAGACTTTCTTTCACTCTTTCCCATGAATATTTCCCTCAGAGGGCACTCCCTTAAGACTACAGATCGCAGTGGCCCTTTCTCAGTCTTTTCACTTTTACTAATCATGATCTGTGATGTTAGCAGCTCAGACCTCCTTCCTGGGTCCCTGGAGCTGGGAGAATTTATAGTCTATATTTAAATTATATTATATATTTATATTATTATATTGCTTTATATTTCTTTCCCTCATTTGTCTAGCTCCCTGCCTCCCCCCCACCACCCCTTAGCCTTCTCAGGATTAAGTGTGCAAGATTCTTTTTTAAAGAAAAGAAACTAATTCTCAAACAGAAAGGACCATTTAATACTGCTGCTGCTGCCAAGTCACTTCAGTCATGGCCGACTCTGTGCAACCCCATAGACAGCAGCCCACCAGGCTCCCCCATCCCTGGGATTCTCCAGGCAAGAACACTGGAGTGGGTTGCCATTTCCTTCTCCAATGCATGAAAGTGAAAAGTGAAAGTGAAGTAGTTCAGTCGTGTCCGACTCTTAGTGACCCCATGGACTGCAGCCTACCAGGCTCCTCCGTCCATGGGATTTCCCAGGCAAGAGTACTGGAGTGGGGTGCCATTGCCTTCTCCCCCATTTAATACTAGGTAACCTGAAATCTCACTTACATCGCAACAGGAACTGACCCATGTTTAAACGCCCAGACTCTCACACGGAAGGAGCCTCTGGTGGGCATTTCCTCCTGCTGTTCCTGACCTCACTTTCCTGCCTCACCACTAATATTTCCTTCAGCTCTTAAACTATTATTCTTACTGCTCTCCTTTGGGAAAACTGAACCTCTTCCACAAGAAGACCCCTTATTGCTTAGCACTTGTGTTTCTCCTTTTCCCTTAACAAAGTTTCATTTTTTGTTTTTAATATGGTCTCAATTAAAAACTAATTACTATCACCTTGTTTCACTTCTAGGTAGAGGTCTGGTTTGGGGATGATGAGAAGCATGGATAGGGGTTGCTATGCCCTTGTTCTATGGGCTATATTAATGAGTCTCTCTCTAACATTTCCCAGTATTTCTACCACTGAATACTAAGTCGACAGGGGCACAAAAGAGCGTTACCAGTGGTAGTGGTGACATTCTTCATTAAAAGGAATGACAATCTATTAATTTCTTCCTATTCCTTCTTTGGAAGAAGAATGGATGAGTCTGTTAATTCTCAAGTGATACTTATTACTAGATAATACTGTTTCCTACCTAATGCCACCTGGTCACAAGTTATCATTTATTTTCCAGTTTCTCTTCCCTCAGCTTTTGTTTTGTCCTTCTTCCTCATAACAAAAAGCTTTGCTTTCAGAACCCAAAGATTTTTCCATTCTCTAGTCACTGGATAATCAACTACCCAGACCTCAACTAGTATAGACAAAAATCAGCCCTTGAGCATAGCTATGAATTGACCTGATTTGTTCCACAATAGGTATCAAAGCTTTTCTCTCTCAGCATTCATAAATAATGATGGATATTTTTTGATGGTGGATATTTTTAGCATAAAACAAAATATCCAAAATGATTTTAAAATAAAAAACACTCTTACTTCTATTGATAAAACAATTAAAAGCAGACCACCTTGAATTAATGTTCACTCTTTTCATGGTTGCATTCTGCAACATGCATGGTTGCATTCTGCATGTGCTTCCTGAATGGTTCCTCCTTTACAGACTCTCAGAAGTAACATATGCATAGATCTTATATAAAAGGATTTCAAACACAGGAAAAGAAAAAAAACAGAAAAAAAAATGATTCTAGATAAATAAGATAATGACCTTTTACTTTTTTTTTCAGTATATTGTATATATTTAAATTGTGTTATTTTCATCTTTTTCAGTCTATTCACTGATCATTGCTTCTCCCTCAGAGGCTTTCTACAGGCTGAAATTTTAAAAGGTCATGATGGAATGCTGAGATGATAGATTTAAAGAGTTAGAGGACAGGCACATAGGTATATATTTAGATGAGGTAATATTAAACTAATTAGATGATATCTAACATTTTCCAAAGTATACAAAGTCCTTTTGTATATAGTTTTAATTATGTATTCTATTGTTGAGCAATGTTTACATTTCTACTTTATATATATATTATATTCTGCAAGATTATTTTACAGCAGTTGTCCTCCATGTGGAGTCCTCAGACAGCAGTATCAGTATTATCAGGGAATTTTTCAGAAAGGCAATTTCAGTGACACCCCAGACCTCAGAATGGAATGGGAAACCAGGGATAAGTGCCCAAAAATGTGTGTACTAACAAGCCCTCCAGGTTATTTTGATTCAAAATAATTGAGAACAACTGGTTTAATGTTGCAGGTCAAGAAGCAACAGTTCAAATTGGACATGAAACAACAGACTGGTTCCAAGTCAGGAAAGGAGTACCTCAAGGCTATATATTGTCACTCTGCTTATTTAACTTTATGCAGAGTACATCATGCAAAATGCTGGGCTGGATGAAGCACAAGCTGGAATCAATATTGCTGGGGGAAATATCAATAGCCTCAGATCTGCAGATGACACCACTCTTATGGCAGAAAGTGAAGAAGAACTAAAAAGCCTCTTGATGAAAGTGAAAGAAGAGAGTGAAAAAGTTGGCTCAAAGTTCAATGCCGGAGCCTGCCGGCAAACGAACTGGTCGAGAACGCAATTACCAGAGTACCTGAGAAAAATAAGACTTAGACAGACTTAGAAAGATGGGGTTGAGAGGGACAGAGTCAGCTTGCGTCTGACTCTGCCAACTTTATTGAAGAATACCACACCTATATATATGGAAAAACACATACATAACCCCTCCCCCAAATTAATACTGGATCCGGACCATGCCATGAATTGTCTAATGGGTCTTTCCATACATCCATCTGCCAAAGGTGATTAGGTAAGAGTCCATGAGGGTTGACACCTAGATGAGGGACTGGAAGAAATTCAGGACAAACAGAACAAGATTTAACAATTTGTCGGGCCGTTTCTCGAGGGATTTGAAATTGCAGATGAAGAGCATTGCTATTTTGATGATGTAAGGCATGTGATTGTTGTGCTGCATCTACCTGTGAAAGAAGGACTCAAGTATGAGAATCGGCTATTTGATTTCCTATGGATAAAGGTCCAGGAAGCCCGGTATGGGTGCATAAATGCCCAAAAAAGAAAGGTAAGGCACACTGCTGAAGAAGAGATTGAATTGAGCGCAGTAAATACTGAATATTAGAATTAGTAGTGGAAATGAAAGGAACAGTTTCTATATATTGTAAGGCATGAACAATATATTTACTATCTGTAAACAAATTAAAAGGCTATAAGAGATATTGAGAATAGACTTTGTGAACTGCTGAAAGTTCAACTTCTTGAGCGAAGGTATATCCAGTCTGCCAGGAAAAAGAAGTATTATTAACCACAAAAGCAGCAATTCCATTAGAAGATCCATCAGTAAGTGATTGATAATCTGTCCTGTAAAGGAATCGAAAGCCAAAGCCCATGAATCATTAAACTGAAAAAGCCATTCCTGCTGTTCTTTAGTATAAGGCACACAAATGTAAGTAGGATCAGTCCCCAGCATTTCTCTGGAAAGACGTCTTCCTTTGGAAGGACTGTCCAATGATATCTTCGTGCAGGCTGTTTAAAATTTGTGGAGGGAATACTAAAAGCAAAGTGATGACAATCGTTAGGATGTAGAAGTATCGTGTAAAAACAATCTTTTAAATCTATAATTATTTTATAGGTTGCACGTGGTATCCCAGCAGGTGAGGGCAAGCTGGCCTGGAGCGGTCCCATAACCACCATAGTTTCATTAACTTTGCAAAGGTCTTGTAACAACCTCCACCTGCCGAACTTTTTAATAAGAAATATGGGGGAATTCCAAGGGGAGTTGGATGGCTCAATATGTCCTAATTGCAACTGCTCCTGTATCAATTGCTCAGCTGCAGAAATTTTTTCTTTTTTCTTTTTTTTTTTGCATCTGGGGCATACATCAGGATTCTTTGTACTATCTAAATTATTTTTCTTAGGACATTGGGCCATACGATGTCCCAGTTGTCCATATGAAAAACAACTGCTGGGAGGCCCTCCCTTTTTCACACTACCCTTGTTCTTAGTCTGTTGATATAGAACTTCCTTGACAGTTTTTCCCTGGATAGCAGCAGCCACAGACAATTCCTGAAGGTAGGAAGGGCCAATGTCAGCACAAATTCTTATATAATCTGTTAAACCCTCATACTCAAAAGCCTGCTCTTCTAAATCATCTCGGTCTTCAGGGGAGAGTTCTGAATCAGAATCTTGCTCGAGAACAATAGTCTCAGCATTTTTTCTAGGACCTGGAATTATTGGGGAGTCATATATGTGCTCTGCTACCCTCTGGGGAATATTCGAACATTTGGGTGTTATAAGTTTCAAAGCTGTTTCAAGTTTCTTGCTTTCATGTTCTGGGTTCAAACAAAGTCCATAGGGAATAAGCATCAAGAGGAACCCTATCTGGCCCATGGAGAGTATAAGCAGTTTGAATTTGTTCTCCCACCTTTGCCCAAGTTTCCAAGTTAACAGTTCCTTCCTCCAGGAACCAAGGACAAGTTTCCTCTATGAAAGCAAGAAATCTTTCCAGTTTCCGTTTAGACACCAAAAACTCCTCTAGCTTTTAACATAATTTTTAACATAGAAACAAAGAACTATCTACTACTATTTTGCCCCATGAGTTTTACTCTCAACTATACCCTCTCCACCCGCAATCATCCACAATGCCTGAACTCGCAAATACCTCCCGCGGGAGAACCTTCGGTCTTCGGGTGGCTGTACGCTGGAATCCGTCCACGTCCCTGTTCGGGCGCCACTCTTGCCGGAGCCTGCCGGCAAACGAACTGGTCGAGAACGCAATTACCAGAGTACCTGAGAAATATAAGACTTAGACAGACTTAGAAAGACTTAGACAGACTTAGAAAGATGGGGTTGAGAGGGACAGAGTCAGCTTGCGTCTGACTCTGCCAACTTTATTGAAGAATACCACACCTATATATATGCTAACAGGAGTTACTAATAGATTAAAGGTTTGCATATGTGCAGAGCTACAGGCACAGATGTTTTAAATTCCTCCACTTAAGATCAATAAAGCGTCACCCTAGCACCCAACATGACTGAGATCAATAGAACATTAACTAGATAGAAAACAGGCTTCAATCATGACGAGTTTATCAGCAACAGGTGAAAGATCGCTACAGCAATTTCCTTGAGGGAGGTGAGAAAGGCCAACCTGTGCTTTAATAAATCAGGGGTGGCGGGACAGAGAGGGACCTCTTGATCTCTCTCAGAGCCAAGAAGGAGCCTGAGCAGTCAGGCTGGCTCCCCGCAGTTCAACATTCAGAAAACTAAGATCATGGCATCTGGTCCCAACAATTCATTGCAAATAGATGGGGAAACAATGGAAACAGTGACAAACTTTATTTTTTGGGGCTCCAAAATCACTGCAGATGGTGACTGCAGCCATGAAATTAAAAGACATTTGCCCTTTGGAAGAAAAGCTATGACAACTTACACAGCATATTAAAAAGCAGACTCACTGCTTTGCCAACAAAGGTCCATCTAGTCAAAGGCATGGTTTTTACACTAGTCATGTATGGATGTGAGTTTGGACTATAAAAAAAGCTGAACGCCAAAGAATTGATGGGTTTGAACTGTGGTGTTGGAGAAGACTCTTGAGAGTCCCTTGGACTGCAAGGAGATCCAAACAGTCCATCGTAAAGGAGATTAGTCCTGAATATTCACTTGGAAGGACTGATGCTGAAGGTGAAACTTCAATATTTTGGCCACCTGATGTGAAGAACTGACTTCTTGGAAAAGGCACTAATGCTCGGAAAGATAGAAGGTTGGAAGAGAAGGGGATGACAGAGGATGAGATGGTTGGATGGCATCATCGACTTGATGGATATGAGTTTGAGTAAGCTCTGGGTGTTGGTAATGGACAGGGAAGCCTGGCATGCTGCAGTCCATGGGGTCAGACACAACTGAACAACTGAACTGAACTGGTGTAATGTTATACTAATCCTGAACTATCAAGGCTTTTCTTCAGTGGAGAAAATCATTAATCTTTTTTGGTGCTTATTCTATCCTCTGCCATCATGTATACAATATAAGATAGTCTCTTTTATGATTTGTAGTTTTGCAAATCTATTGCCCAAAAATCACCCCAAATCATTAGATGTTCTAGGCAGTTATAAATATACCTGAAAACATGTTTATTTTCTTCTAAGATGTTTGCTTTTGTTTAATTTATAACCTCTCAATTTAAGCTTTTATTCCTATCAAGAACCTTGCTTACCCAACATAATCTAAAATATACCATAATTCAAATAGCATTGTGTTCTCCTATCCTTGGGCTCTTATTGTTAAAGTCTATTCACATAGCTGTTGATGTGGAAAATACTTTGTAGCTATAATTTATGGCTTCAAGTTAGGGAAAAGAGTAAATGTATCAAGATGATGATCTGAATCAAAATGTCTACTTACCCTGTCTACTAAAACCCATTAATATTTTAATATGTGTATGTGTGCATGCATAAACATCTTGAAAAGACAAGAATGGATGATTTCAAGGGAACTGCATATTTCAATAAATAAGAGACAAGGGATTGGAAATCTGTATGTCTGAAGTCCTAGTACAAAAGACCAAAGATAAGAAAATTTCTTCCAAAGTATACCCCCAATATTTCTAATCCAGAAGTCATTGATCAAATAAGGCACAAGAAACCCAGCAATTTAATAGAACACCAGTCTAACCATTCTTCGTTTCTTAACACTGAGCCTAAGGCAGAGATGAATTTTGTCTTCATAACAAAAAACAAGCCTGACTTCCAAACAAGGTCCTCTGACTTACTGGGAAGTGTCATAATATAAGTTTTGGGGTTCAAGAAAATAAAGAAGCATAATTTGATACAGTTTTTCACATCCTATTCATAAAGGAAGAATAAAAGGAGGTGGAGAAATGGCATTCTGTTCTCCAGAGAAGTTGTTCTGACAAGATATTAGGAGAGACACTGAAGTAGCTTACATTCACCCTGAGAGATGGGGAAGCAAGCTTGTTCAACCCCATAGCCCCAGATATTATCTCTTCCCAACAATGTTGAGAAGCAGGCCACTGATATATGTACTGGATATTAAATACTCCTGTCTCAACTTGAAACCCAATCTACTATGTTGTACTTAAGGATGTTGGGGCTATGGCCTACAAATAATAAAGCTCCCTTGTTAGCTAGTTCCATTATAGGATTTTCCAATATGGGTTCTGAAAACACTGTGATGCCAGACATTACTCAACTTGCAATTTCCTTTGAGTTTTGTTTTTTTAAAATAATTATTATTCCAGTTCTGTCACCCATTTTTTTCCCACTCTGACAGTAGCGTGATATCCATTCATAGATAACAAAGCCACAAGGCTGGCACTTCCTCCTCTGATTGGCATCCCCCAACATGGCGATCCTCCTCCAATTCTACCACTAGGAGAAGGGATTAAAAATTGCAGTGGGTACACAGTATTTATCTTTCTCTTTCTGATTTATTTCCTTTTGTATAATAGGCACTAGGTTCATCCACCTCATTAGAACTGATCCAAAAATTGCAGCAGGCACATCCAACAGAATACTATACAACAGCTATGAAAGATGGAAAACTCCATGCCAAAGGCTGAACTTTCTAAGGTGTTTTAGTTCAGATACCTGACAAGCAACCAAAGAAAGACATTTTTAATGAGAATATTTGTGGAATAATTAAAATGTATGAGTTATACAGCTAGCTTGAAAGGACCAGATAAGGACAGATGCATAAAATACCATTATTTTAATTAAAAGATTTGAAGAATTGTGGAGCTTAGGACCAATATAGATGGCAAGGTGTTGGTACAAATATCCTTATTTTAATCACACCCGTGTTTTCTTGGAAAACAGTGAAATATTTTTCTACTTTCAGGAAGGAGATAAGATTGTAAAGACCCTGTTTTGAATTATTTCTTCAGTTTTGTTTATTACCAAGTAATGCCCTAAATTATTTGAAATACGCATGCTTCTTGGAAGAAAAGCTATGACACCATATTAAAAAGCAGAGACATTACTTTGCCAACAAAGGTCTGTATAGTCAAAGCTTTGCTTTTTCCAGTAGTCATGTATGGATGTGAGAGTTGGAACATAAAGAAGGCTGAGCACTGAAGAATGGATGGTTTTGAACTGTGGTGCTAGAGAAGACTCTTGAGAGTCCCTTGGACTGCAAGGAGATCAAATCAGTCAATGCTAAAGGAGATCAGTCCTGAATATTTATTGGAATGACTGATGCTGAAACTGAAGCTTCAATACTTTGGCTACCTGATGCAAAGAACCAACTCAAGAGAAAAGACCCTGATGCTGGGAAAGATTGAGGACAGGAGAAGAAGGGGACAACAGAGGATGAGATGGTTGGATGGCATCACTGATTCAATGGACATGAGTTTGGGCAAGCTCCAGGAGATGGTGAAGGACAGGGAAGCCTGGAGTGCTGTAGTCCATAAGGTTGTGAAGAGTCAGACATGACTGAGTGAATGAACAATAAATGCCCCAGAAGACATCTGTGTGACCTTTACAAATGCATGGCAGGTGTTAGTAACAATCTACAGATTTCTCAAACAAAGACAGCAACAATAGGTCACAATAAACTTCTATTCTTTAGGAGATACCCAAATATAAAAATTTTGGCATATTTCAGTGGATACAATTTAAATCACAATGGACTTTCAGCAATTTATTAAATGTTATGAGCATGTGCAGTCATTTCCAAGATAAGCAAGTAGAATTACACAGAGTATACTTGGAGACAGACATTAAATATAAATGATTAGGTGAAAGAAAACATTTTTCATGAGGCTATTTACAAATTGGCTTTTTATCTTAATTAATGGCAAACATAATTTTGACTAAATTAACAAAGCCTCTCAAAAATAGTAAATCAGGAAAGGTCACCTGTTGCCCTTTTGAGTAAAAGCAATTTTTATCAAAAAATTCCAGTAAAAATAGTTACAATTCTGTGATTTCATGTATCATAATAACACTTTGATGCATTCTATATATTGCCAAATTTCAATTCAAACAAGTATTTATCTAGGTAAAGCAAGCCCCATTGACTAAATGTGGAATTATATCTGTGACTAAAATATATATTTTTGAATTTTAACATACTGGAAAGATACTGATAATATTATGGCAATGTTTAAAATATCTAAAACTTTGAGATATCTGGATTAAATTTTTTACAGCAACATAAAAAAATAAAAACAGTAGTGTTCTGAAGGAAATATGGTAGACAAATATGCCTATCCATATTTGTCCAATGTTCTTGAACACTTTATTTGCAGGGCAGCAATGGAGAAACAGACATAGAGAGTAGACTTATGGATGTGGGGAGACAGGAGGAGAGGGTGAACTGTATGGCAAGAGTAACGTGGAAACTTACATCACCATGTGTAAAATAGAGAGCCGACAGGAATTTGCTGCATCTCGGGAAACTCAAACAGGGGCTCTGTATCAACCTAAAGGGGTGGGATGGGGAGGGAGATGGGATGGAGGTTCAGAAGCTGGGAGATATATGTATACCTATGGCTGATTCATGTTGAGGTTTGACAGAAACCACAAAATTCTGGAAAGCAATTATCCTTCAGTTAAAAAGTAAATAAGTTAAAAAAGAGTAATCACCATTTGTCTGTATTATAAGCCATACATATAAGAAATGCCTTAGTGTGATTTTACCCAATTCCTCTTCAATTGCTCACTGTCTTTGTTAACTTGGTGTTACTACTTTTTCTCATTTTCGAAAGTTTGCTGGTGGGTTATGATATTTCACTGTGGCCTTTACCTGAATTTCATTGATAACGGTCTGAACATCTTTTTAAATGTTTAAAAT